GCAAACATGATTAAATTGCAGAGTGGTTTCAAAACTTCCCAGAGGGAAACAGATCACAGATGGCTTCCTTCCCTAGGAAATGAAACTAAAAATAAATGAGGAAAAATTCCCTTCTCTATAGCTCCTTGACCCAAGGTCTGCCCTGTTTAGACAACAGACAAGCGGGTGTTTTGGAAAGCACATACTGTCGGCCAAATGTTTAATGGGCTTTTCTAAATATATTGCAGATTATTGATGAATGCTTAGATGACTTCCCAGAGGCGATCTAGTAGGCTAGTGGCAGATACGGGAGTAGAAGCTTCATTCCCCTGACTGCCCAGCAATTTGGTGTTATCTTACCATTCTGCAGTATTTGCTGGGTGAATGTTGTGTAACCATGGTATCTCTAAGATCCATAAAGCAGAGAGAATATTCTCTAATTTTTAGTCATCTTGGTGTTGCCTCTTGGTGTTACCCGCTTGGTTTACCTATTAAAAGAAGCAAAGACAAAATATATTTTCCATGAATACAGATTTTAAATATTTCCTTACTAGTACTGTATTAATTTAGCACAAATAGAGCTCAAAGATGGTTTGCATAGCCTTTATGCCATTAAAATGTTGAAAGTGTAAACTCTGTGACATTTATTAGAAGTTTGTTGAATGCAATATGTTCTCTCCCACTCCCTCTGCAAATCTTTCCTACAAAAATACAAATTAGTGAATGTGAAGAAAACTCTCTCTTTACAGATAGTTATTTATGGTTGCCTGAGTAATTATTTTGCAATCAAAGCTTTGTTTTGCATGATCTGACTGATGCAAAAAGCAGAAAATAAATATCTTCATTCTCATAACCTGATTGCCTGAGGGATTTACAATGTATATCCAGATGGCATATTGTGTGGCCTATCAAATCAGGGCACGGTTATTAAATTTCAGAGCAGGAAGGTGCAGGCAACTAATTTCAGGCAAGGGAATAGTCATTTCATTTGATCAATTGAATAATTCTTTGTTCAACATTTAGCCAAATCCAAACCACATTAGCTACTCAGCATTCAAGACCATACGCAAACAGACAAGCACATTCATCTTTGTCTTTGAGAATAAAAGCAAAGATGAAACTTTAAAGAACTATTATTTCTAAAACAGGTCATAAAATCCTGAAGGCAGGAGGCCTGTTTCCTTCTGCACTGACAGATTACCCACTATTGTGGGGCCACAGTCATTCATGAGTTTAGTACAAACAGCAACATGGTTTTTATTTTTAAATCTTTATCTTTGCTTGGAGTATAAAGACATACATGCTGTGCGTGCCACTTTCTGTGTATTACCTCTCCTTTCCAGTTTTGAAAAGGAACAGTGACTACATGTGACCATTCTTCAGGATTTTTTAAACTTTATTATAGTAGTGTTACTACTATAACTCTGCTATATAGAGATGCTTGCTGCTGGAGTCTGGATTCCTAAAAGATATGAGGATTGTGATCACTAATTTATAGGAACACAGAAATGAAGTGCTGTTAGCAAGGGCAAGCAGTGAGCTGAAAGGCAGGGGAAGGAACAGAAAGGTGATCTCCTACATCCCCACTTCAAGCCGATAGCTAGACCTTTGAAACAAGACGTCGTCTGCTTTGCACCTTAATACCTAAGATCCTCTTTACTGATCGACCCTACTACATGAAATATATTATATCCATGAGATTACATAACAAAAACCAACATGAAATACCAACAATAGATGATTCATGTATTTGTACTAAGCTTAATTTTAGATCATGTGCTATAATCATGTGATTATAAAAAATTAAACTCAGTCTGATCATCTTTGACCAGCAGAAGGCAGTAAAATCACAAAATGGAAAAAACCACCCAATTTTCTTCATGAGCCCAAACTTGTGCTGTTGAGTCCCGAGTACATGGAGAATGCAGGGATATTGTCTTTCTATAGGATGTTAAGCAGTAATGCCAGTTCCAGACATTCAACAAATTCAAGTCACTTTGTTCCCAAAACCTGCACTTTTTTTTTTTTTTAAAACCCTTGGCTCCTGATACAGCCAATGATTATTTTTAAGCAGCTTAAGACAAACAGATTAATGAAGAACCTACTTTACAAAAGACTAAAAAAACCCAAAAAACCCTCAGCATGTCTAGCCTAGGAGAGTGAGAGGAGATGCAGTTACGCTGATGTATTTTTAGAAAAGAAATAAAGCAACAAGTTGAACTGGAAAACACTGTTGGCATATGAACAAACACATATGTTTAGGCTGGAGACTTATATATTACCAGTCCCCAAAGGAATTTTGAGATTTTGGAACCATTTTGCTGTAGTGGAATCAAAAGACAGAAATTTAAAAAAAAAAACCGAAACACCTTGAAACGGCAGCTGCAGACCCCCCGAAGGGGAGCG